CGTCTCTATCGTCCCCCTCCGAGCGTTCTGGCTTCTCTCCGTGGTGGCAACGAGCGAGTTCGAACCGCGAGGCGAGTCGAGGAACCCACTCCGACCGAAGGAAGAAAGAACGAACGGTGAGCAAATGCTCTCCTCGTTCTCTCCTCTCCCCCTCTCTCCGGTTCCCACTGCTTCTCCTCTCCTGGCCCCTCCCGCCCTCTCGGCTCTCTCCACCGTACGTCGATCTCTCGGCGTCTTTTTCCCTCCCTTTTTCAGCTGCCTGCCCCCGGTGTTTCTTCGTTTTTTCCGTTCTCTCCTCTCCTTTCCCCTCTTTCTCCGGGGGTCAACGTACAGGCGCTCGCGCGGCGTGACCGAAATCACACACACGCTCGTTGCGAACCCGCTCGACTGTGACTCGCTTCTTCGTCTTTATTTGGCCTCTAATTGTTCCTTCTTGCGCGACGCCCGTCGGTCTGCTCGCCTGCCTGCCTGCTTGCCTGCCTGCTTGCGAGCCTCCGCGACCTCTCCTCCCCCCCTCCCCCTCCAATGGTCCCGCTGACGAACTTTCGAACGGTCACCTGAGAGGATTTCTGGACCCGGACCCAGCGTGTACCTGCCGCATGGAAACTCGCGTGGGCCGCAACGCTCGCGGGACTATGAATGAGGAATTTTTCTAGGCTACCGGGTGACTAAACTTTAGACGCGCCATTTCGAACAACTCTCCGGCTTCTCGAGGACTCCTCCGCGATGGAAATACCACCGACAGGCGGGTCGGGCCTGTTTTCTTGTCGGCTGCTGAAAGTTCTGGTCAAACGGCTTGCTCCGAGAGTTTTTCAGATTACGCTTTATCAAAATGTTGATACCGAAACGTTAGTAGTTTGTCCGCAAGTTCGTTCTAAATCGTGACTTTAAGCTAACCTTGGAAGCGTTCGAACTATAAACGGGCTTATTAATTTCCATTTACCTGCAATCAATTTAAATGTTGGAGATACCGTTCCGCGGCGGCGATGCGTCGACTAAGACAACCGACGATTAATCGCTATGCTCTTTCAATTGTTCTGGGCGTGACAGCTCTACAAGCTCTAATTATTCTATCCACCGTGTCTGCTGGAGTGGTAGATCCTTGATAGTATACATTTTCCTTCAGCTTTCCCTCTTGCTTTGAGCAACGCGTCGTGAAGCAGTTATCGATACGGTTACCTTTGTAATCTGGTGTCAACCAGGCCTCGTATATACTTGCAGCCTGTTGATAACCGTGATTGCGTTCATTCACAAATCGCCTTTCGTCGTCATCGAGGCCCGGAGAGGGCGGAGAATTGATTTAAAAATTGCTCGTTCAAGGTCGCGTTCGTTCGTTCATAAAAATAGGTTCCTCGTGGAATAATTTGGAGGTTAGATTGGTATTTTTTTTTAAGTTATCGCGATTCAGGATAGTATGATCATAAATCATCATCGTCTCTTCTAATAAAGGCGACTGGTTTCGCTTCCCCTGCAACGAAGCATGCATAGAAAACAAGATCCAGTGCATAAAATGTGCATTACAGGTTCATAAAACCTGTGGAGGTGTATGAAAAGAAACCTCGAATATAGTGTCCCAACTGTGACACGTAAAATAAATATAAATACGTAAATTGATCATTATACGATAATAATTCTGTTTGTTTTATACACGTTAACTCCCCCTTACAATTTATTATTGTTATTCGCAATTATATCACTGTCAAAGAGAATTCGATTTGGGGAACCGGTTGCTTAAATCATATCTTGTAGATTATAGTATGAAAAGACTTGTAATAAATTGACATGATCTTGGTAAAAGATTGAACGTGTAATGATAGGTGTCTGAAAGATCAAACTCCAATTTACAATATTAATTTGCGCCCAAGAGATATTGTATAGGATCTTGAAACTTGCGTTTTACCGTGATTTTCAATAGTTGTGGGAAAATTTCTGACATTGGCAAGAGCTTCGGAGTATCCACCGATCGGTAACAAAATTTTAGCCCTTTGGGCAACGAAGGGCCGTTTCGAGCGTTCTCCATTTGTCGAGCAAACAGCCCCAAAATCAATTACCCCTCTTTCGATCTCGTTTCAGCCATTTAAAGTCGAAAACCGGGTTCTCGTTGGCTCTTGCCTCCGGATTCGCCTTCGTCGATAACCCGTTCCCAGTCTCCCTCGCGACAGTCGGCGTCCTCCCCCCCTCCCCCTGGCTGCAATTAGCCCCCCCCACTCAAGTGCCGAAGATCGCGGACGCTTCCGGTCGCGATAGTGGTTTCTGATCGGTGCCAACAACCTGGCCCGTTTCATCAACTTGGCTCGGACAATGCCTCGAATCGGGCCCAGCTACGCTTACCTGACCCAAACGAGGGGTGGCTGACGGAAAAAGGGGGAGGGAAAAGGGGCCCCGGGTGTCGCAGAGAGCAGATTAATGGTCCCAGAGAATTCTTGGTAGTCTATCCGGGGCCCGAGCCCCCGCCTCCCCATCTCTCCGCGCTTCTACCCGGTGGTGGGGCCCAGAAACGCACCACCCACGTACAGAAAATTTCGTTGGAAGCCACCGAAGGACATCGTAGGACCCCAAGCGTCCTCTACGTTCGGTTAGCTTATCGAACTGTCCCCAGAAAAAAAATTGTTATATTTGTAAAATTAAATGTTCATAGCAGGCTTCTTGAAAATCACGATTTGTTATTTTTCTTTGATTTGGAACCAAAGACTCGACGTTTCGATGTCGCAAAACATTAATAGATTCACAGTGGGTATTTTTCACTTTTAAACAAGAATAGGGAGTTGTTCTTTCGTGGAAATTTGTCATCCGAGGTAGAATGTGGGTCAACATTTCCAAGAGAAATTAGAAGGGAAAGAGACGAGCATCTCCACCGAAAAGTGTATTATTTGTCGGGGAAAACAAGGCTACGGGACGCGATCCTCGATGTCGAAGACTCGGGGGTAGGAAAACTTTGTTATTTTCCGTTAAACGTTGGAGGGTACCTGGAATTTCCAGGGCTTTGTAAACGGTCGCCTTGCGGCCTCCCGGCACTCGGACAATGATACCTCTTGTCTCAAAGTCTACCTGCGCGGCGAGTACCGAGTTACCTGAGTCTCTGTCCTGCTCCTTAGGTCGCGGTTAGGGCCTCGTTATTAGCTTTGTACCGTATCGAACCTGTTCCACGTGCCCTCGACAATCTGGAGTAGCCTCTTCTGGCCGAGGAAAAGAATTTTGGATATGCTCGAAGGCGTGGGTACGCCTCGAGAGCTACGCGTGATCCGTCCACAGGTGAAAATCTTATACCTTTTCTTCGGGACAGATTATTCTCCGCAACATAGTAAATACGTAACCATTGCAACTTTGATCTCATTGTTAAAAAATGTCGATAGATCTATCTTTAGACAGGCGGAAAGGTTATTAAATAATGCAAACAATAATGTAAAATTAATACGGTCTTGTATTTATTTTTGTTCCGGTACAGGTACACAATTGAACAGAAAAAAATGAGGCTTATTTTATTATAATTTGTTGACCGTATTGTGCAACGTGAGAATTAATTATCAATATCGCTGCTTGGAAAAAGGAATATAGATCGCAGTTTTAACAAACGAACGCGTCGAGGCGAGTTTTTTTTTTCTTCCTTTGAGACGCTCGAATTTTCCGTGGCAGATCCCCCTGCATTTTGTCCCGTCGTTCCCATTTCTCTTCATCCGGTTAATCTGGTATCCGCTGCACGGCGACTCGCGGGAGCGTAGGATATTTCCTTACGGGAACGGAACGATACCGAGTCGATTACTTTTTAATCCTAAATTACTCTTGTGGTAATCCAGTTATTAAGTTGCAGCGGCCTTTTTGAAACTGGATTCACGAAAAAATGGCCTCTGGCGGAGAGCCCGCAAATCCCCCCGGTCGACTCTTCTAATTCTCGAATTTACTGCCAGACGATTCCTAAACAATCGCGTTTAGCGCAAAATTCGTCAGTCCTTTCGTCTCGCGTCGAACAGCATCGTGTAATTTTCAATTAATTTTTTTTTCGTGTTAAGCTTAATAAATTAAAACGTCGATGGAGGTGTTTTCGGAAAGTTTAATTTGAAGGAGGTTGGAAATTAGTTGGAGAACGGGAGGAGAAAAAATGGCAGCCGCTGCCGTTCGGAGGTCGATCGTTTTCGCACGCGCCACGCGTCAAGGTGGAAGACCATTCTTCTTCATCGCGGCGTACAAATGCGCTCAACTTGACCCCGAACACGATAAATCGGATTTCTGGGCTTCTGCGATCTTAGTAGAATCAATCCTGTGTCGAGTTCTTCGGGACCCACCGGCGATTCGAATCGCGCGGAAAGTGAAACTGCCTTTCGGCGGACTTTGACGAAGATACGGCTTCCTGTTCGTCGTCCGATCGTGTGCCAAATAGAATCCGCGAACACCCGATGCCTTCCGATTCCTTTAGACTTTCTCTTACCAAAACATTCAGACTCCAACACACGTTAACACGTTTCTATACACGATTATTGAAATTGGCGGGAATTCGTATGTAAATAAAGAATGCGATCGCATGTTTGGAAAGAAGAGATCCCGAAGAAAATGAATCTGTTTCGCGATAGGCAGGGCACTCGGCGAGAGCATAATTTTCCAATTAGAAAAAGCGTGGCGTGCGAGCATCTCGCCGGGCGTAAAATCGGTCGGGCAAAGTAAAATCGAAAAGGAACGAAAGGGTGAAGGGGGTGTCCGGGCAACAGGGGTGGCACGCAAAGTCCCGCGTCGCATCGGGTTGCGTGGACACCGGGCATCGGGCGCTCACGTGGCTCCCCACCTTTCCGGCGTGCGTGAGCCTGCTCCCTTCCGACGCTCCTTTCGCCGTGGCTTCGGTTCAGCTTCCCCCACTCCGTGTCCTCGCGTGGCTGTTCCCCTCCAGCTAGACGTCGGCCGCCTGTCCTCGAAAGCTCGAGTGCGACGGCAGCGCCTCCACGCCTGCCGCTCCGCAGTAACGCGATTGCCCTCGTCGAGTGTATAGGCGTCCGCGGACCGTGTCGCTCGTTGCTTCGTGACACGCAGCGCGCGTTGTCCCGCGTCACCGTGTTTCTCTATCGTTCTTGGTGTTTTATTATCGCGTGTATGTGCTCTCAGTGCTCGTATCTCGCGGTAGTTTAGTGATAACGAAAATATTTAAATAAAAAAGCCAGCCAGTCGAGAGAGATCCGAGTCACCGAGTCGCAGGTAGACGCGGACGGGTTTCGGAGCCGAGTCCAGCGATCGAGTCACGTTCGTCGCGAGCCGAAATCCTCGGGTACCGAAGGAGTCGCTACTCGGACTATGCCGAGACACGGTCAGCCGGTCACGCGAACGCAGCGTGCTCGCGTGGACCTGGTGTTTGGGTCGCCGAGCGGCGACTGAAGCCGCGATACGGGATGCGAAGGATCCCGCGGTTGTCGCCGGCGAACGTTGCCAGAAGGAGAAGAAGGGCGCCAGGATGGGCGGGAGACGAGGACCGCTGGTCCGCGACGTAGGTGTGCACCGCGACGCCGACGACGTGACGGCCACGTGCCCCCGCGGATACGTCGATGGCCGCTGGCATTAACTGCGTTTGGTATACTCGTCCTTAGGTAGATTAGTCGAGCGAATCGGTGACCGCATAAACAGGCTCAAGCCGAGTGTGTGATCAGTGTCCCTGGTGATCGATTGCTAAAGTGCACCGTGACTTCGGGGATCTTTGGTGTTCTTGGTTCTTCGATAGTTTCGACAGGGTAGTTTTTTTAGCTTGGGACTTCCCGACTTGGCGCGGGGACTCTGGTGGTGGTTCGATAGATGCGAACAGGTGGCACGCAGAGTGTATTCCGGCAGGTTCGCGAAAGGGAATCCCGCCGCCAGTGGAGAACGCTGCTGGCTGTTTAACGGTGGATGAAACGAACGGGCTGGTATCGAGAAACTTGAAACGGTCGTGGCACGAGGTGTGTGCCGTCCCTTCCGTCCGTGCGCGTACCGAGGGCACGTGGTTGCTCGAGTCGAGGCCGGTGAAGTATACCGCAAAGTGCAGTGATCCCCCTCGTGATTACTCAGCGTGATCGATGAGGTTCTGAGTGGGGTCCGAATTGTACGGTCGAACCGGCGAAGGAGAATCGAGAGAGTCCCCGGTGATCGTGAAAATTTTTTGGCGAACGGAGAAGGAAATTGCCGCGCTCCGTGGCCTAATCATCAGACCGGCGGGAGTTCGAGGAGAGGGTGAAGGGCGTCGTGGAGGGGGGAGTGATGCCGGTGAGGGTGGCACAGCGCCCCCCAGGTGGAATACCACTCCACGCCGGCGTGCCGGTAGCGGCCAGCAGCGTAACCGCCCCCGGTCCGTCGGGCCGGTGCCTCGGGGGCCCGGCAGCGCCCCCCGCCGGCTCGCCACCGCTGCCGCCGTCCTTGCAATCCCTCGGCGGCGGCGTGAGCAACGCCACCAGCAGCGCCCCTGGCGCCGCCAGCAACGGCAACAGCAACGGTAACGGCCTGAACAACAACATAGTCGGTGCGAACAGCAGCCAGGGCATCGGGAGCACCGGCGGTCTGGGTGTCAACACGACCAGCGGCGCCACGAATCCCTTGCAGGCGATGGCGTCGGCAGCGGCCTCGCTCACACAGCTGAACAACATGGCGAATGGACCGCTGCCGCCGCTAGGGGCCACAGGACCGACCGGACCACCTAGTTTACCTCCGCCCCAGCCGGCGACCACGCCGACTCATGGGGGTCCACCGACGCCGCACGCCGGCGTCACCGGTGGACCCCATCTCAACGGAGCTTCTCCGAGTCCTCACCCTATGCCGCCCCACGGAATGATGACCGGTTCTCCTCATGCCCCGCACCCCCATATGGGCGGCGGAGGACCCTCGCCTCATCCTCATCACCCTGGCCCCCACATGGTTGGCTCGCCACACCATCCTGGACCGCATCCCATGGTCCCAGCCGCTGGCATGATGGGCCCTGCTGGCATGCAGCCCCAAGGGGCACCCGGGATGTGCGGTCCGGGGCCCACCGGCCCTATGGGCCCTCATGCTCATCCTCAAGGACCTGGAGTGCCTGGGCAACCGCACATGCACAACGACCCCTTTTACTGCTCGCCTTTTGGATCCCACTACTTCAGGTAAATTCACCGATTTTTCAACTACCCTCCGCTAATCGCTACGTCCCCTATCGTCGCAAACTTCTACACCGTTGATAGCCTGTTGGGTGGGATCGTTTGCATAAGATTTCTTCCCGAAGAATTCACAATTATTTACAACACGATACAACGACACACTCGATCTTATCTTCTCTTCCTTTAACAACTTAAATACAGTTCCCCCCTCGATTGTTCTCTTACCTTGTGTCTACATCGAAAAATCACTCTATTTATTACGCAATATTTTGATACGAATCAACCGATTACGCGTATCACTGTCAAAGAGTAATGTCAATATACGCGGAGATTCTTTGGATTTTTTCCACTTCCCTACACGCACGATTAGTGTTTTCACTTGCCTGATCGGCAATTTCCGCGGAGATCCTTTGGCGCGAGATCGACGGGGAATAATCGTTCGCGATGAGTCCGACATAATGCAGAAATCTGCATGTTGTCGCGCGCAGGCAACAAAGAACGCTCGACATCGGCCGGCTTATTTCCCGTCCGCGCGCAGATTTGAACTTTGATTGCCTGTTTATGCAAAATCTCTCGAGAATCCCGTCGCGTAGTCTGTTATTTTTGTAGTTCGCGCAAAGTTCCTCTCCGTCGCGAGCACGCCGATCCGTCCTTGACGGATTTCTTCTGCCTCCGACTTTTTCATCGCGTAAGGTCCGACGAAAGAGAAAGACGCTTCCGATGATGAATATACTCCGCGCCTGACCTCGACGCCCCCCTCGGGGCCGAAGATATTACCAACGCGCCGGAAAGAAATCAATCTCGCCGCGATTAAGGGACCCGCGATAGAAATAAATAATCCGTCGTTCCATCGATCGTAACAATTTTTTTGTCACGCGAAAGCGTCGAACAGGTGCTTTCTTTCGGCAGGGGGTCACGCGAGCTTCCGGAAAAAAGGTGTATCGCGTGGGCGTAGAAAATTCCGTGCGGAACGCGACGGTTTCTTCGTCTCTGGCGGCGATCCGCGGCTTGGAAAGGCAGGAGACGCGTTCAGCGAATCCTTTCCGGACGATAACGATTCGAAAATCCCTCTCGATCCTCGGAATCCTTGGCTACGGACGTTGAAAAATATGCAACGACTTGGTTTTTTATTCTAGAAAGGGTTTCTATTATCGAGCGGCGTTTAGGAAATCTCTTTCGATTCTTAGATGGTTGGAAAATACGCAAAATACGTTGCAACGATTTGGTTTTTATTTTACAAACAGCATCGATACGAATGATTCGAGTGGCTCGAACGTGTGGGCAGTTTGCATAGTTAATTCGAAATCGTTTAAATTCTTCGTTGCGAACATTTTCAGACGGTTCTTTTACGGCCCGATACTCCGTTCCGTGCCAATCGTTCGGCAGTCTCTCGCTAGCACGCTCTCTCGGGCGTAGTAACAGTATACTCGGAGAATCCGTTATCATAGCTCGACCAGGATCTTCCTGGTGACCGTTGCGCGGTCGAACGTGTCTCGAAACGTGGCTGCGAGCAAACGTGGTCGCCTAGGACGCCCGAAATGCCTCCTAATCATATTTCTACGATAACCGTTCTCCTTCTACCTTGCTAGAATCGTCTTCCAAAACTCTATCGACGTTTCTCCGTCATCCTTTAAAAAATCTAAACACGAGTGTTCTTTCAACGATTAATGTACCCCTGTGCGACCTTCGTCTTATTAATTGGTGTATTTCCGTTTCTGGAGACCCTTAGATGCGTTTGACGAATGCGGAGTAGGTCCGTAACCGAATTTCTCGATCGTTCTCGAGTCAGACACTCGGACGCGGACGGGAATAACAAAGTAGCCCCGTTCGAGATCGATCGACGGCCAATTATCGTGGACAAGCGAGCATGTTCGCGAGTCAGGTGGCCAGGAAAGTCTCCTTGGCGCTGTTCTATCACCGAGTTCAGGTGGCCCGCAGGTGGGAGGCGCCCCTTGTGCAGGTGTACGTCGCAGAACTTCCTTCCTCGTTCGGAGACGGCCTGTCCGGTGCTCGAGGGCCAGCGAAACCGATAGGGCGGACCCAGTGCGTAGCGCAGTGACGATTATCCGGTTCTTCTCCTTCGACCTTCCTTGTATCCGGTCTGGACGTCTCTATCGGCTCGACATCATCTCCCTGCTCGCTGGCCCCGTCTGGTAATCGCGAGGGCGCATTAACATAAGCGTTCCACGCTGCTACGTTCGCGCGAATCGCCGCGCCAGTTCGTTCAACAGACTACTTTCGTCTTACCGAACTCCCTGGACCTGCTCCGTGATTCATTTCTACCGATTTATGTCGGTCACCTCGGTAAAATTCACGAAACCTACACCCAGATTTATTTCTTTCAACGCCTTCGCTGGAAATTTTTTAATCTCATAGCGAATAGTCCTGATATCCATACATAGGTGACAGTCAAAGTGTCGAGGATAGCGGATGATTTGCTCTGGGTTAGGTTGGGCGACCTGTTTAACCCCTTCGCGTACTATTTAATCACGAATTCTCTCTCAGACGTATACCACGCGTTTGTTTGTCAGTTTTTGTTCGCCCCTTCCGTACGAGCAGAGAAAAACGTATGGAAACTTGCACGCGCCACGAGTCCCTCGCCAAGGTGCCGATTCAGTTTGTCGCGAGGCGATCAAGGTCCTTCTTATCCTACCGAGAGGCCGCGATAAGATAAGCCCAACGACGGCGTTCGACTTCCGATCGCGCTCGAAACTCTCCGTTCGTGCGTCCCTCTCTTTTTCGCCTCTTCCTTCTGTCGCCATTTTATGCCGCGACGACAGAAAACCAACGTAACGCGAATTTCCATTTCCCGAGAACTCGGCGACGTTCGAGCGCTCGGTTCCTGATTCCCAGATAATTCTCGAGTGTCTTAAAAATGCCTATCTACTGTCAATAAAAGTCCACTTTGCTGTTCTCACGGTACGCTGCTCGAAAACGTGCAATCGTACCCGATACGAACGACTCTAACTAGATTGACTGGTGTAGAAAATAGAAAACAGAAAACTCTGCATTATCTATACTATAGATTCTGAGAAAAGAATTTGCAACATAGTTTATTTGGATTTCCACACAGAAGAAGCGATCTAACGCGTTGCGTGGTGGCTAGACAGCTGATGGAAGATCGATAGAACGAGTGTCGAGGATTCCGCGGTTCGCGGGCAGCGTCGCGGTTCAAGTAGATCGCTGGACGACGAGGGGGAAGAGTGTATGGAAAGAGGAAAGGCTCGTTTCGCCGTGGAGGCACGCGAGGAGATACCGGGCCGAGTGCATAAAGCCGTGTGCAGCCAGCGTATCAAGCCGTATCGTCGGTCGGTTCCAGTTTCACGTGAAACTGTTCGCGCAACCGGGCAGGTTCAAGGCGAGCCTGAAAAGTGGAATGCACGTTGGTGCACGCGGGAACCAACCTGCGACTCGCAACCGCTTAACATCCATTCTTAATGCTGAATACTTCTAATTAGTTGGCATCCAAGTTCTCTCGATCTTCGCGAGCGTACTTATTCCCCGACCGTGTTGTTCCTCGGAACATTATCTGGCTCGGCTTTCCCAACAAGGATTCGGCGCCATCGATAATGGACGTTCGCCTCGAGTGAACGCAATACGAATAAGATCGCGTGCCACGATTGTCCACGGGACGGAACAAGTCTCGGATCCGATCTAATCCGGCCTCCATTACCAGCTATCAAACGCTCATCAAGCTTTTCCACGCACTCGATTAACCCCGCCGCACTCGATCATTCACGCGGTAGCGTCTTCCGTCCCTTCCAATTACTTTCAAAGCGACGAGAAGCCGCCCCGGGAAGCAGATAAACCTAATCCCGGTTCAGGTATACCGTGTCCAAGCGTTCAGCATCAATCGCCACCGGGGAATCAAAGAGAACGGAAACGAAGGCGGAGGCAGGGACCCTGAGGAGCCAACAGGGTGACAATGAGGACAGGAACGACCTCCCCGAGTCATGGTTTACCCTGGAACGACAGTGCAGATGTCCGAACGGACAGGTGCGATTCGACAAACGTCCGACTAGAAACCTGTCCTAAGTTTTCTAATCCGAGTGTTTCCGCCAAAGGGGTATTCACGCCCTGTTCGCAATTTTTATCAAAGAAAGATATCCTTTCACCCATTCGGCTCTATGCTTCGAGAGTATGCATAATTTTTTTCGTCGAAAAATATTAAAAATTATAGGAGTTAGAACGAATCGAATTTCGAGTCCCCCGTAGAGGTCTGGCCCCGTAATGGAGGGTGTATTCCCAGCGTTTAGCAGTCACTTGAAAAGTTGTAGACACCGCGGCGTGTTGGAAGCGTTAACGACTGGTTTCGACGATAAGGATCTTGGCGGTCCGACGAGCGCCACGGTGTTTGATATCCGACAGAATCGGACACCCGGGTGACGTTGAATGGAGATTCCAAACAATCGATCGTCCACACGTTGAAAACAACTCTCCGTTTCAAAGCTTGGCCACGAAAACCGTAGAAACGCGAGTCAAACGTTTAACTCCCGAACCATCAACTGTTTATCTTGGAGACAATCGTAGGAAGTCGCGAGTTACTCACCCTGTGACTAATCCGGAGCGTGTTTAGGCGTTCCTCCACAGTTACGATCAATCACGAGTAGATTCCAACTGTTACTTTATTTTGATAATTGCAATGGAATGAAGTTTCCTTGAACAAAGCTCGTCTCACCAGACACTCTCGATAGCCACGTGACTTCTCCATCTACCCACGAGGATGCATGGTTTATGCGAAGGATCCATTTGGCCCTTGACCCAGCCATAAATCCTCGAAAAGTTGTTGACGCTAAGGGGCAAGTTCGGATAGATTCTCGCGGTGTCTCTATCGATCTTGCCCTGTCAGATTTCGTCGCGACAGGCATTGTTCTTCCGGTGCATACGCGGCTGGGCATCGTCTAGTCGACGAGATCGAAAGTTTACGATTATATTTCCAACGCGAGCCGTTGCTTCCTCGTGGATTCGGGCATTTTATTTTTACCGCGGCCCGTCTATTTCGGCCG